AAACTGCTCATCTGCAAAAATTGAGTTTGTATTGATGTGAAGCATCATTCTATTTAAAATAACTTTTTCAAAAAGTTTACTTATTGAAGAAAGCTAACTAATTGGACGGTAGCTAGAAGCTTCAGCTGGATTTTTATCCGGCTTCAAAATTGGAACAACTTTTGCATTTTTTCATTTATCAGGAAAGTATGCCAAATGGAAACATCGGTTAAATAATTTTACCAAGAAAGACAAGGTACTCTCTGGGAGTTTTTTGATGAGGATATAGAAAATTCCATAATCACCTGGAGCTTTCGTATTTTCAAACTTTTTAGATATAGTTTAGTTTTAGTTTAATTTCATCCAAATCAGTCCCCCAGGAATCATCAAAAATATTTTCCTGAGAGAAAATATTCAGAAAATCCCGAGCAACCTGATTCTCAATAGAACTAGTAAGACCCAAACTGAAATTATGGGAACTCTCGAATTGCTTAGCAAGTTTCTGAGCTTTTTCCAAATTTGTGATCAAAATTTTACCACCTTCTGCTGGAATAGGCTTTTGAGGGTTTTTTTTTTTTTCAAAATTTTTGTGAGTTTCCAAAAGGGTTTGGAACTCGGGTCTAATTTAGAAACATTATTTTCAAAAGTTTTGTTCCTCAGGCAAATAATCGCTTTTTAATTTGTTTTTGCAAATCCCGCCAGATAACTTTCATGGCAGGATCGCGTGTTCTTTGATATTATCTCCTACGGACATTTTTAAGACGGATCAAGAGCTGAAGATCGTCGTCTATTATAATTGAATCGAATTTAACCTCGCATTTTGATACTGAGGCAGCTCTTGATTCAACTATAAAAGTAGTCAGAGATTCAAGAGCATAATTAATTTCATCTTTGGTTTGCAAAGGAATGTTTGGATCGAAGTTATATTCCTTAAATGTTTGATATTGCTCCTGTAGCATACCGAATTATCATTAAAACAAACATGTTAACTTATTAAAATAAACCCGTAAAAAAAACCAATCAAGTTCTAATTTCACAGTTGACAAATCCAAATCGTGAGACAGGATACAAATTAACTTTCCCATGCAGTACAAGTTTTAATTAAACTGAGACCATAGAAAATGCACTTAATTGCGAAACCCTAGTTTGTTCACATACCACAAGTGTTTGAACACTTGAATGCATTCCATTCATACCGACTCATCATTTCCCACAGCTTAATTAAACTTCCAATCCAAACTAGTGATTTCCCTCAGGTCATTAACATTTATCGATGTAAACAAACTAAACTCACAAACTCACAAAAAACCCAAAGCAGTAAAAACAAAGATTCAAATTACATCGCCGGACAACAACCGCGCGACCTATATTTTGATTGTCATTCGCTTACGCTATGTACTTACCGACCTACGACAATATGTTTCTCTCTGTTCTACGCGCATACGCGATGCACGAGAACAGCGCATTACGATTGGTTGCAACAATGTATTTGACTACTGAAGCTCCTCCTAAGTTTAAGTAGATGTAAGTGTGAAAAGTTTATTCAGTAAATAATCAAGTTATGTAAAATTAGACTTAAGCTTTCGTGTTTGAATATCGAAAAATAAATATTATTCTATCTTAAAACTTCAAACTGTTAACGTGTTTTACTCCCAAACAGCTCTATGGTAATTAAAAGTAGAGCTGTTGGGATTACAAATTATTTCTTGGGATATTTCAAAGGTTCCTGGAAGGTGATCAGAACCGAAGTCAGCATGAGTAACCAATTGGCTACAAAGTCGACATGAATCAGTTAAGACCAAATCAATAGTGGAGGGATTTATTGCAGAAGAAAAGCATGTTGGGCTGTTTGGATATTGAATAGTGTAATAACCTGCAGAACAATCATCAAGCAGAATATTACCATTGGAATTGCTTTGAGCATTATTCCATGAGCGGTGTTTTGCATTAAAATAACCAATAATAAAGAATTTAGACCTATTATGGGTAAGTTTCTGAAGGTCACCCTTGAGAAAATTCTTTTGCTGGCCTACGCATTGGAATGGCAAATAGGCAGCTATAAACTTTTTGTTTCAACAGAAACTCCCAAAGTTTCAAAAACTTTGGTTTCAAATGAAGAAATAATTTTATGTTATGATATCTATGAACAATAATGGCAACACAACAGGTTCCATCAAGACGATCATTTCTATAAATTAAATAATTTTAGTCCTTCGTACCTTATGGTCAGGTTTAAGGAAAGTTTCAGTTATAACGACAATATGCACGTTATGAAGTCTCAATAAGTTAAATAGCACGTCTGCATTATCTTTAAGAGATCGAGCATTCCAATTTATAATATTTAATGCTTTAAAATCGATTACTGAATTCTAAAGTCATGACAATATGGTTTGCAAATTTTACTCCAGTTTGAATAGCATCAAACAGGCATATCAGAAATCATGTCAATTAATGATTTCTGTAAAAATTCCATATTAGGGGCAGTAATTCTTCCTAAGTTAAAATTTTCAAAATTTCCGTTAGAATTATGTTGGTTAATATTTTGATTTCTTACCCGTTGCAATATCAGCATAGGTAGCTCCATTTACTTGCTGAACAGTGTTAGCAGCGAGGGGAGTAGGTATAGATGAACAATTTGAAGCAGGGGTGCTATTTGTACCTACGGGTACAAATGTAGAATTTGTTCCTCGCTGACCGTTGTTTGTACCTGACCGAAAACGTGGAGCGTTTCCTACCTGTCGATTGGAACGAGATTGTAGGATCGCTTTGCGAGTCTTACATTCCCAAAAATTGAATTTGTGGTTTTCACCACAATTTGAACATTTAAATTTCTTAGGATCTTCCTTCACAATACAGTCGTCCTTTGCGTGTGAGGAATCACCACAATTCATGCATTTAGCTGGAATGTAGCAATTTTTAGTTCCGTGACCCCATCTCTGGCACTTACGGCACTGGGTGAGGTTTTGGAGATTTCCTCCAGTCTTCCTGAAGTGTTCCCATTTCACTCGGACATGCAGCATAAGGCTAGCTTTTTCTAAGACCTTAAGGTTGTTTAGTTCAATAGACTTAAAGTGAACTAAATAAAAATCATTAGAAATCCCGTTGCGCGAATCACCAGGACGGGATTTCATTTTCATTTTGATTACTTGGAGTGGCACAAGTAATTTTGCCAGTTCATCTTTGATCTGATCCAGGGATTCACCACTGGGCAGTCCTTTCATGACAACCTTGAACACATGTTCAGTTTTGGTGTCGTAATTATGCTGCTTCTCAGTAATATGCTTGAAAAGTCCGTCCGAGAATTCCGTGTATTGGCATTCACCCCGAAGTCCAATTTGTAGTGAAAACTTAAATTTCACGAAGTTCAAAAGTTCCATGCGAAGAGCATGGAAATCGGAAGTGGTTAGCACAATAGGGGGAATCTTTTTCTTCTTGGCAATAAGCCAGGAAAGTTTATTAGAATTTTTCCTGGATGATGGATCATTCTCAGCGTCTGTGAGGAGATCAAATTGATTGCTCGAATTAATTTCATCAGAAGAGGGATCAAGGATTGCGCTTTTCTTTTGCGCTTAGGCACCATGGCGGCAGTAATTTTTTTTATCCAAAACGACTTCCATGCAGATTACTATAAGAATCTGAAGGATCGAAGAGAAATTTTCCAAATCGATATCTAAGAAGGATTACCTCGGGTCTAGGCGAGTAAGAGAGGTGACAAAGTCGGAAGAAGTGTTAGTTTGTTTACTAAAATGAACCGCCCATTTTTCTATGGCAAGTTTTGCTATAAGAAATACTCCTCGTGTTTATTAGAGAAATTCACATCAAAGATTGATTAATTGCGCTGGAAATCAGTTTGGAACGGCATTTGTGACCAGCATACACCTTCCGGTCGTATGAAACAGGTCAAAAACTGTCCAAATCCACAGATAAAAATTTTTGTTTTAAATTTCTGTATGGCAAAATAGTGAACTTTTCGAGAAACATTAACGGCAAAGAACTCACCAACACTGGGAGACCGTGAGTTCCTCCCCACCTGTCTTAAAAACATCTCGCACCAGAATCTATATGGATAGATGTAAAGGTGGTCAAGAACTCACGGTCTGCTAGTGTTGGTGAGTTAATTACCGTTTATGTTCATGAAAAGTTCACTATTTTGCCATAAACAGTGTCAAAAAAATAAAATACAGTTGGATTTAGACAGATGTGGACCTGTCTCATACGACCGGAAGGTGTATGCTGGTCACAAATGGCTTCCCAAATTGATGTCCTATGCAAGTGATCAATCTTTGATGTGAATTTCGCTAATAAACACGAGGAGCATTTCTTATAGCGAAACTTGCCATAACAAAATGTGCGGTTCATTTTAGTAAACAAACTAACACTTCTTCCGACTGTGTCACCTCTCTTACTCGCCTAGCCCCAGAACCACCCACACGTAGGCGAGTAAGAGAGGTGACACAGTCAGAAGAAGTGTTAGTTTGTTTACTAAAATGAATCACCCATTTTGTTATGGCAAGTTTTGCTATAAGAAATGCTCCTCGTGTTTATTAGCGAAATTCACATCAAAGATTGATTAATTGCGTTGGAAATCAGTTTGGCACGGCATTTGTGACCAGCATACACCTTACGGTCGTATGAAACAGGTCAAAAACTGTCCAAATCCGCAGATAAAAATTTTTGTTTTGAATTTCTGTATGGCAAAATAGTGAACTTTTCGTGAACATTAATTGCAAAGAAATCACCAACACTGGGAGACCGTGAGTTCCTGCCCACCTGTCTTAAAAACATCTCCCACCCACACAGCCTGTTATTCACACAGTAACCACAGTGTGTTATTCTACTCTTGCGTACATGTGTTCGGAATCACATGTTCGCAGAGTGCAACCTGTGAATATGGTGAGTGGAAAGAAAATGCTCTCCCGTTTGTTTTGACCGGAAAGCGCATGTCCTTTCGGAGAGAATAAATCCTTGCTGGATCCGTTTTTGTCGCTCCAATTTGTATCAGTCTTCTTTGAGATCTCAATCGCTGTGGATGTGTAAATTGCTATCGTGGCACTTTGTTCAATTGGCCAGCAAGTGTTTTTCTTCTGAAACCTGCCTTTATTGGCAAAGGTGTGGGAAGATGGGATTTTCACCCAGCAAGTGGCTGTTTGAGAGCATTCGGAAAGGAATTTGATTTGTGATAGGCGTTGTTGGTAACTTGCAGTAAGGGAAATTTGTAGTGTAACGGCGGAAATTCGTTTCGAAAGCGCACCTAGTGAAAGATGCTATTTTTATTTCATTCATTGAAGTATCCTAACAGTGCAGTGAACAAGACGTAAACTATTTCAACACGGACGGGGCTCGCCGCTGCAGTGACACAAGTAAGATTACTTTACTATGTGCAAGTATTTGAGTGAAAACATGCGTACAAATGCGAAGATGTGTGTGAGTCGTGCTGTTTTCCCGGTGGTTACATAAAACCTTCTCAATTTGAGCTCCTCCAAAAGTATCATTGTACCCGAAAGCGGTAAATGATTCTGTGATACAAATTTTTAAGTTCTCATAGTGAAATGTTTTTTTTCTGTTTTCCATCAGGAAGATCGATGATATTTAGAACAAACTCTAGGTAGGTTAATGGTTATTGAGTGCACGTTGCCACTTATGCTGGAGATTTTAATCGATATGGTTTTATGTTGTTTTTTTTTCCTTTTAAGCCATTCTCGTATTTTCATGTATGATAGAGCAAGGGCATTAAAGTACGCCGCATCCTCGTTACAGGCACTTGTACATGTCCGTTGTTAAAAAATTTCCTAGCATGCCAGGTACTTTTCATGGAATATAATTTTCATCCGTTACATAGTACCCTTCTACTGCAGTGGTGCCAGCAATGCAATAGATCTTACTATTGCTTATAATAATGTGAAAAATAAAAAAGTGTTTGGGAAAAAAAACTCAGCTTAGGTTTCTTTGAGCACTTCCCTTTAAGATTTATCGTACACTGAGTCAACAGCACGTAAGAACTCCATAAGAAACACTTATGAATGTTAGCAACAAGAAATCGGTATAAATATATCGGTAGCCACAAGAAATTGGTGACTAAACATCAACAGGCGTTATTGGCCCCAATGATGTAACATAAACTAAACATGAAAAGTACAAAAACTAAACATCAATAAGTACGTAGATTAGATAGTCATCTCGTAAAAAAAGGAACATTACTGATCTAGAGAAAACGAATTAAACATCCAGCGAAGCAGCTGGCGAGTCAGGTCAAAGTCAAACAGTGTTGAGACTCTATTGAAGAGTCTCTGTAAACCACCGATTGCGCTGAACATGCTATGATTAGTTCGCTGTATGGGAAGGCACAGCATTGAATTATTCCGTAGGGCTCAGGGTTGAAAATTGATATCAACTTGCTCAAGGAAAACAGGGAAAACGGTACGTCCTGGCAAAATATCCGCAATTAGCAATGCCCTTGCTGTATCTCTTCGGACTGACAGGGGCTCCAGATGGATCAGTCGCAAACGAATTTCGTAGCTAGGCAATCGGAAGGGATCCGTCCACGGCAGTTTACGTACGGCATATCTCAGGAACCGTCGCTGAACAGACTCAACTCTTTCGATACCGTTGTTGTAGTGAGAAGTCCAGACAACCGAGCAATATTCTAATATGGAGCGAGACAAAGAGCAGTACAACGATTTAAGGCAGTAGATGGTGTAGTAAAAGTTTATTGAAACTAAATATTAAAAAATGTAATCTTATAACGTACAGTAGAAAACTAAACAAATAAAATCTTTGTATTACATTAGGTAATGAAAACGTTCAAAACTGTGAAAATGTAAGAGATTTAGGTGCTATTCTAGATTCTAAATTGACATTTGTGGACCAATAATACATAGAGCAGGCAATATGCTTAATTTTATAAAACGTTTTGGTATCCACTTTAAAGATCCTTATACAATTAAATCAATTTGCGTTGCTTATGTGAGGTCAATTTTAGAATATTGTAGCGTTGTTGAAAAAGCATGAAGAAAGAATAGAGTCAATCCAAAAGCAATTTTTATTATATGTACTACGTAAGTTAGGTTGGACGGCTTTTCCTCTCCCGTCATATGAAGCACGTTGCTTGCTGATCAGCATTCAAACATTGAAAGAACGTCGGGATTACGCAAAGATTTCTTTATTAAACAATATCATTTCGCAACGCATTGACTCAGCTGATCTATTGTCAAGGCTAAATTTGTATGCACCTTCCCGACAATTACGCAATCGACAGTTGTTCGCAGTAGATCGCCATCGGACCAATTACGCTAAATTTGGACCTGTAAATCAGATGATGACTGTTTACAATCATCATTGTGAAATGATTGACCTAAATATAAACAGAATTAAAAATATATTTCAGAACTCTGCGAAGTCATAGAACATAAGTCCTAATGTTAATATGTAGTCAACGATTTGATTGATTGACGAATACATAAATAAATAAATATCCGTTGGCAATCCTGAAGATAAACCATAGTATTCTTGAAGATTTGTTGACGGCATCCGAGATGTGCTGTTTGAAAGAAAGTTGTGTATCCAGAATTATACCTAGGTTCTTAATTTGGCTGACGCACTCAATTTCAGTGCATATCAAAACATACTTGAACATAATAGCCTCTTTCTAGCGCGAAAAAGAAATAACCGAGCATTTGGACGGGTGAACCCCCATTTGATTAGAATACACCAATCAGCAAAAGCATTCAGCTACGTTCAAGGAAGCAACAGTCTTCAATTGAGTGAATTCGAAGGAAGAGTTTAAGGTCATCTGCGTAAGATAATCGTGGTCCCTCAATTACCAGATTCACGTCGTTAAAGTAAATCAGAAAAATCAGCGGTCCCAGGTGACTATCCTAGGGTATGCCGGACGTGGCAGCGAGTAACGGGACTGGTGATCAATGACAGTAAGATAGCGATCAGTGAGGTACGACTGAAATCATTGCAAAAGACAGACGTGGATACCAAGCTTGTCCAGTTTTGCGATTGATATGCGGTGGTTCAACTTATCGAAGGCAGCAGATAAGTCAGTATACATGACATCCATCTGAGCACGATCCGATATACTGTTAGAGTAAGAGAAGGCACTGCAAGTTATTGGCAGTGGAGCGACCAGCCATGAAACCATGTTGGTCGATACTAATATACGGCTTACAGTAAGCGAGTAACGGTTCCATAACAACGAGTTCGAACAATTTAGCAACAGCGCTAAGTGATGCCACGGTAGTTGCCAACGTCCTATTTGTTGCCCTTCTTGTGTACTGGAAACATGTGCGCTAGCTTTCAACAGGATGGGAAAACGATGAAAAACGTGCAGCAGTGGAGACAACAAACTCCAAGTGCGTTTTGGAGAACGTCGATGGAATTCCGTCAAGCTTATGAAATTCATATGTGTTGTTCATAAGTCGAGCCTTATGAAATTCTTAAGTCTATTTGCCTCAGTGTACGCTTTGCTTGTTTCATTAATAACGCTACTTTCACCCATTAACGAGTAAAATGTGTCCCATTTTCAATAAAAGTGGCTTAACTCGTTAATGGGTAAAAATTATACCCATTTAATGAGTATTTATCAATAAATTATCAATACTATGTAACAGTTACTCATGAATTGGTAAAACAATTAACATTAATGAGTTAAGTAAGTTTTGAAGTAAAGTCGGTGAAATTTAACTCAATGGTTAATTTCAAGTTGGCGTGTATACCATTTATATAGACTCATACCACGTTCACACTACAGCGTATAAAATGTGTAATAGACTACCTTCAAACGTCATTGATATTATTACTAGTTAAAATTGATTTATCACACAGAGAAAGTATTTTAAATTCAACAACAATATTGTTGACTAACGACGTACATATATGTCCTTTGTTCGGGTCATAATCACTGCAACTAATACATTGATCTTTTGTGATATGTCCGTGTCCTTTAGTGCATGTCGTAGTACCTCATTACTATGAAAAAGTAATGAGGTATTCGTTTTCGATACAGTTAAATCATACATACTTGCTCTTCTCACAAGAAGCATCATTCAATTGTGATGTTCCGCATCATTCGAAGCGTTCTGGAACTTTTCCGATGACGTGTCCAGTCTAAGCAACCAAAATAGGTCTTACGTGAATATTCATTCAATTGTGATGTTCCGTATCATTTGAACAGTTCTGGTATCTATCCAAAGACGCGCCCTCTCATCTATCAACATAGGTCTTACATGTATGTTCATTCAATTGTGATGTTCAGTATAATTTGAAAAATTCTGGAACCTCTCCAAATACGCGCCTTCTCTACAAACAAAATAGGCCTTCTTAGCGACACAAACAAGCATGATACTGATAGTTGACCATGCAGCAGAACCATGACCCGATCTTTTTCTTGTTTTAAATCTCGAATCCGAGGCTCATAGTCGTCAACTAGATTTAGTTTAGGGCCAGATTTTGATGTGGTAGATCTTATAATAGCAACGTACCACGAAAAGGTGATCTACCACCTTCGATACCTACAATAAATATAGTTGAATCATGAAAAGTGTAGTAAAATCACGTAGACTCAACAAACGTTTTGTTGATGGAAGTATATTTATTGTGTATAGCATTATTCAACATTTTTGATACAATATTAAGTATAGGCTGCAGTGTTAACGGGGTATTTTACAACACTTTCTCAACTACTATAGGGTGGTCTAAAATTATAAACACGGTTTGATGTTGAAATAAACCCCGTAACGTGGGTAGATCACCTTTTCGTGGCACGTTATGGGATGTTAGATCTACCACCGATTCCTAGTCTTGACTACTTCAAACTAGGGGAACAGGATTTTTCAGTAATCAAAGGAACACATCTTAGTCCTTGTTACTTTTTATGCCTTGATTCCTAATCTTCTATTCATTCTTCCCTAGTTTGAAGTGGTTAAGACTAGGGTTCTGATGCATGGTCATTATCGGTGTCATAGCTTGTTTTTGTTGCTAAGGAATCCAAATTTGACTGACAAAGGGGCGCACCTTTGGAGGGTGTTCCAACTCCGAAGGGTATAAACAGCGTGACCTTTCAATTATAATCGATTCCTTGCGATGAAGGCAAGAATGACAACTGTTTAAAACCGAATACTTCATCATTTCTTAATAGTGATGGAATAATACGACATGCACTAAACTAATACTAAACTAATACACATACTAATACACTAAAAACTAATACACATGGTTTGTTCAATTAATGAATCTAAATAACGACCAAGTTACCATCAAGCCTGTTAAGGGGTTACGCCTACCTGCAAACTTTAAAAAAATCTATTTTTTTTTACTGACCTAATCGAAAGTATATAAAGTCAAGAATATTTCCTCA